CTCTGATCATTTATTTATTACATTTAACCTACATATTACCATGGGGATGATGGGGGTTGGTGTTAAAGAATTGGTGTTAAAGAATTGTGTTATAACAACCCCTACAAATACAACTCATTATATACAATATAAACACTTTAAAGGAGATAGATGTGTAGATGTTTGTGAAAGATGTTTTCTCTGTTTTGGAGGGATTATTATTTTTAAATCATACCCTATTTATTGCATCAAAGTTTGTAAATACTTAATTACTATATTTAAGGGTGGTTAATTTTATCAGTTGTTTATTGCAACAATACATAACTACAATAACTTTGTCTAGTGCTCTTATTAAAGTTTATAGCATGATTTGTGAAAATGTAACTATACTGAATGACATAGCATAGACTTCTTCATGGCTAGTTTTTGCGCATTTAATTTAACCTACTTGTTCTACAGATCTGTGTGTACTAGTGTTAAATGCTACTGTTTTTGACAGCGTTGATAACGTTTATGACAGATAATATCATGGTAATTTTTAGCGTTTCTCTTACCGAATGTCGTATCCTGTTAGCAAAAACCTGTCCATGGGCTTTTTTTGATTGTTTTCAGTTTAAGTGCTGGCGATGCAGTGTTGCCAGATACTGATACTAAAACAAACAAGTTGGACGTTGATCCGATAACCGGTATGAAGCAACAGTCGTGATTGAATATAAAATATCCAGCCGGTGTTCTAACAAATAATGCTACCTATCATATTATGCTACCAACACTGTATTTATCCTACTGTAAGGGTAGGTTTAGGGTTGGTGTAGCTGTACATGTTAATAAAGCCTCACACTTGATTAATATCATGCTGAAAGCAAAATCTGATAGGTAGCACTTTTCGCTATTGAATTATGCTACCATCTGTTTTAATGGGAGGTAGCAAAATCTGATAGGGTATCACAAATCGTCAGAACACAGGCGATGCAGTGTTGCCAGATATTGATACTAAAACAAACAAAAAACTAAAAATAAATAAAAATAAACCGAAATTATTTCCAATCTTTTGCAAATAAGATAAGATAAATATATCGCTGACTCTAAACAGCAACTTCCTACTTTATTAACTTTCTAAAGTGTTAAATTAAGTATAAAAGACAAGTCCAAAAATGCTTATAATAGCTGGATCTGGCAGAAAATCTGCGCCCTCACTCACAACTCTCTCAAGCCTCGTTCACTCCGCCAGCGTGTCGCAGCCATCATTTTCATGCCAGGGAAGTGCAGAGCAGAGCAGAGCAGTCCCTTATTCTCCTCATGACTGAGAAACTCATTTCTGTTGTAGCCGAACTAGAGCCCTGCATTTCACCCAACGGGCCCCGACTTTTTTACGCCCCTCGGGCTGGGCTTCGGGACAATTTTCACGTCATAGTTCAGGCTGGACTGGGACAAAAAATCGGCCCAGGCATTTTTTGGTCCAGGCGGCCCACCATCATTTATTATATGTGACCCTGGACCACAAAACCAGCCTTAAGTCACTTGGGTATATTTTTAGCAATAGCCAAAAAATATATATATATATATATATATAGTGTATCACCATTCGGTGTGTTAAAAAAAGAGAGAAGCTCTCTGGTAAATGTTGTGTGTTTTATACACATACCTCTGATGACCGAGAACAGTGCAGTCTTTTCAAATGCCTCTTTCTGCAGCGGACCACCCCCCTTCATGTTGAATTTGGACATGAGGGAAATTTTTTAAAACCCTAAAATATAATACAGATTGAGGTGGTTAACAATTGCGGACAAAGTTTGACATTTCAAAATGACCAGTAAAGGAATTCTTTTTTTAAATGTCTGATTTTCTGCTGTAACTAAAAAGCCCAGTACAAACATTAACCTCAAATGTACATGGAATAATCAATTCACCCCCTATACCGTTTTATTACATTATGTTTTCTGTTTGTACTGTTTCGGTTTTAATGCTGCATTGCACATCTGAGCTATTTGCACTATTTTAATACTGCTGCAAACTTTTTATAATTGATAATTTTATATTGCCATTTTAAATCATTTGTATTCTTAAGCTTTACTATCAATTTGGAACGTTCAAAATAAATCTTATTGTAACGTTACTTGTACTATGACAGATATTCTATTCAATTAGCTCATGCTCTCTCTCTATCTAACAAGCCATTGTTCAGTCATAAATTCAATATAATAATTAAAATAAATGATGGACTTTGTCAAAGATGAGAGCTTTAGTGAGGAAATTTTGTTTTGGGGAGTTTTTTTTTTTTGTTTGTTTGTTTGATTGTTTTTTTACCATTGCTGCCCAGATCTTTTCAATTTCCAACCGCTTTTCCAGATGTTGAAACTCCTCCTCAGTTTCTCCAATTCTTCTGAGTGTGTTCACTGTATAAATTAATATGGATTAATCTTTGTCAAAGCTGTGTTTGTTCTGTTGTTTGCTTTTTCGGCTCTTCTTGCGCACTGTTTTAAAATCGATTGAGTTTGTAAACACGTACAAATTATAAAACTTTTACTCTATTCAATTTTGCAATTACTCCTCTGAACACGTGTGCTGAACCTTGGGCCTAGTCATGGATCGTCACGGGTCACTATCAACTATGATCTGCTCCCTTCACTAAAATGTAACGGTTCCTAAACATGATAACAAATAATATAGATAAATAATGAACACATGTCAAAACGAAAACACAGATACTTACAAGAACAAGTAGGAATGTCCTTTATCGTTTGTTGTTTGTCCGATGCTCTCCAACAAGTAAACTTAGTGCTCTCTGTGTAAAAACAAAATTCAAAACACAACACTGTAACATTTAGCTTGTGGGATACATGACATCATATTATCAAATGCAAGTAAACTTTTGAAACATTTAAATTTGCATTATTTTTGGCATAATAAATAATGCTATATTTAATAATGCTGTAAATTAATTAAAATATAAAATAATGATAATTTAAATGTTTCAAAAGTTTACTTGTATTTAATAAGAAGCTGCATGGGCGAAAATTACATGTAAACAATTTTAAGGCTATTTTGGCTATGCTCATCGCTGGTCTGGTTACTGGTATAGGGCTATAGCAAGCCGTTAAAATTAGACCACTGATTGCCTCGATTTCGCCAGGTGGGCTAAAAGCAGACTACTCGTAGCCCGTCCAATTTAGAGCTAAATCGTGGCTACATATAGACCATGTCATGAAATGACAC